TTGATACTTTTTCCTCATTGCCACGTAATCAAAGCTTTTTAGATCATTTGACCTTTCCTTTATGTTTTCACAATCTTGTTTCCTTTACTAAGGTATCTTTAAATATGTTAATTATGCTTATGTTTTCCTTTACTGATTATATTCTTCTTTTTTTCCTCTTTATCCATTCTTTCTTTATTAACTCACTTCTAATACTAACATTACTCTGTGCCCATCACATCATCACATTGCTGGGTACCAAACCTCAATGCACTGGTCTGTTGGGTTTGGTCGTATCACTCTCAGTGGCCCTGAAGCTACACTGGAGTAAGTAGAAAACATTTTCTAACTTGATCACTACAAAGAATAGGCTTATTCTTTCTAGGTGGACATTCATCTTTCTCAAATTCATCTTCAACTGTCTTTATTCTCCACGGTGTTTTTGTGTTCTAGTAGCCATTCTAAGTATTCCTGCATCATTAACTCACATCTTCCTCACCTGCTATTAAACATTCATCATTTTCCTGCTATATTACACACTACCAGATTCTAATTTGGCAGGTGAATGGAGTAAGAAAAATAGTCAGGTTAAGTATGTTGCATTTGTTTAATTGTAATTAGTCAGTATTGCCTGTAGTAAAGCTTACTGGCCAACAAATGTTTGATGTAGTCATTGTTAAGTAGTCCTTTTTATAGACCAAGCGGACCTTAGTCTTTTTAACCTTTTGACGCTCGGCTTGTGGGCCTTAAGGCCGAGTGGCCGCGTACATGTGGTCCTGTTAAAACTACTTTCTTGCTGAGAGCACGCTCCTTGCACATTCCCAGCACGGTAGCTGACGGTGATCGTAAGCTCCATACTTGCGATCGGGAGCTTTCCAATCATGTGACCACTGTAACAGCCAATCACAGCAGTCACATTACCCAAAGGCTCACCTCCTGGCTTTTAGAGCCTTTAAAGGGCCGAGAGGTGGTCGGTCACAAGGGGTTAAAGTCCAGATAAAGCTTAAGGAAAATATATTTTTTAAATTACACCAAGCTAAAGTAATAAAACAGCCACAAAACATCAGGAGAAGAAGAGCACTGCATTTTCACATTTCTTTCTAAAGTTGTATACAGTGTACAGATTTAGCAATAAATGCTCATGTGGATGAGAATATATAAATGCATTGACTTGTTTGATCCATACTGTCATAGCAGGATACCAATCAATGTTTACAGTCATCTTGATCATCTTGCACAGTAATGGGGCCACTCCATGTGCTTTGCTTTATTCTGTATGTGACTGTCATACGTTTGCACACTGTTTACTGTGTTTTGGCCTCTGTGCTTTTCATGTATGTTACCTACACATATCATAGACTCATGAGATATTATGAGGGTTCATAAGACAAACAATTAAATCAAAAGACTGCTGCTTTGTTTTGAAAAGGTAGAATAGCCAGCTGCAGATTTAGAATATGTGCTTAATGTACCAGAAAAACATTTTCAGATCTATCACAAGTTTTGAATGAAAGTCGGTAGTCTTTATATTTTAAACATTATGCTACTGAAAAGAAAACAAAGGCAACAGTAAAAAGATGTCATAGTATACATCCTGTATGGAAATTTCTGAAAATAGAACAATCTGTATTGGCTCTCGGCAACCAAATTCCACCCTTTAGTATCAATATTTCAACAAAAAAAAATACAGCTGCAGTTGTTTTAGGGAATGCATAAAGTATTCTTTCTAGAGGCTTTAATACATGAGGCCCACTGACTTGATGGAAAGTTTCTAAGTGCAAGTTCAACTTTATGTAAAAAAAAATCCTCTCTCTCATACGTACAGCTAGTCTTTATTTGCCATCTTGAAATAAATATATTCCCAACTCTAATAAACACAGTGCAATGAAAGCATGACTTATTTCAATAGTATTCATTTGTATAACCTACAAATCCATTAGGTAGTGTTTAAAGTAAAAATCTGATTTTTTTAAAAAAGTAAGAGGTGCATCCTAAATCATTTACCTTTATAGCTTGTATTATACATTTTTTGTCCAGTGGTGTCAATGAGCTCTGACCTTTCATCACTAATAGGAGCACTATGTTTGAATACATTCAAGTGATTTCAGTATATTTTACATGCTCATGCCAGGATTTTTTAATTAAATATGCTCCGGGTGAAAACATTTTTAAAGACTTTTTTCTCTTTTTTGCAATGGTACATATCACAATATATACCAAGAACCAACAGTCAGTGTCATATTCTGGTATTCTGAACAGTTCTGAATCAAACCTAAAGCAAAGATCCTCAACCAGTTGCTCAGAATTCACAAATGGCTCTTAGTTACCTTTCATAGTAAGGCCTCTCAGTGGGTGCTTATCTTTTAATATCAAGTCTCAAAACTGGCTGTATTATACACTAGTAATAATCAGAAGGTCAAACAGAGGTAATCAGTATGATATACTATCATTATTAAAAATGTTCCCATATCATTTTTTATTTATGTTTACAGTGGATCACTTCCGCTACTTATAAGTGCAGCGGCTCCTGAGCCAACAAGGGATAAGGATCTCTGCTGTAGAGGAAAAATATAATATGGGTCATAGACTTAATTATATTTCCTGAATGCATAATGTAATATGTATTCCAATATTTTTACAATCTGTACAATCTTGCATGGTAATAACACAGTAATCTTAGTTATTAGAGGTTTGATTTTTTTTTTGTAACATTGTTGAAATATGCAAAAAAGGCTTCTAAAAAAGAGTCTCATATAATAGTTAACTTTATAAACATGAATATCATGCAAGCATGATGTATTGCTACTAATTCTAAAAATATGCCAACTAGTAAAATAACACATTATTAGTTAAATTATTTGCCTTTATTTGCATATTAAAATACATTAATTTGTTCAGATACTGAAATAATGGTTTGTATCATCTAATATGATGTCAGGTTTTTGTATTTAGACTGGCATTATTGGGAAATAATAAAACCATGTTTGACCACATAAAGAAATTGGCTGTTAACTTTTTCTTTTTCTTGCATGAGCTGGGCACCAGGAATGTATATTTAGTAGATTTTCTTTGTATTTCTTTTCCTAAAGTAAATGTGAAATATTGCATATAACCTTTTAATATTTATCATTTAAAGCTAGCAGGTAATGAGCTAAAGAGGAAGGGATTCCCAGAGGCACAGGTAATGGTTGTTGTCCTCAAATAGTCCTGAATGACTCAGAAAAGGGACGCAGCCCCTTATGCTCACCTGGAAGCTTTAAAGCTGCCTTATCAGTGTAATCGATACTACCCTAATACTTGTTTAGACAGGAAATATTACATCCAAAATATTAAAAAATAATAATTTAAATGTATAAACTTAAAAACATTAAAAAATAAACAAAAAAAGAGAAATCCTTTAAGAAGCATAAAATCATCATGGTAGGGTAAGTAAGGTATATGGGATGTTTGCAGAAATATTCAAAGCTTTCGTACTTAAACAATATACAAGTCAGATAAATAAATATGAAATGTGTATTTCTCTACCAAATACGTTTATACTTCCTGTTTATCCCCAACTAGAGATGCATTTACACTGAAATAGTTCAGTCCATGATGAATGGATGATTACTCCAGGTTCATTCTTTTTTGAACTGATAAAGGTACTTTGGACCCACAAGTTTTATTGACTGGTAGATATTGAAAGGGATTGTGAAGTGGTATTTTCCAGCCTCTGTAATATCACCGTCCTAAACTCTGAGTGGATAGTAAATACCTGTTCCATGGAACAAAAGCAATTAGCCACAACTAAGCCATTTACTAGCCACAACTAAGCCATTTACTAGCCACAACCAAGCTACAGGTCAGAAAACATATTTTATTTAATACTAGATAATTTAGTATTTTTTAATGCATTTTGCAGCTTTAATAAAATGTAAAAGTGATTAAGTAGCAATCCCTTTAAAGTACAGAAGCCGATTCTGAGTAGGTCACGGACACAGTTATCACTCTGCTGTAGTCAAGAACTTTTTAAACTGTGTAGCTTTTCCAAAACAGGAAGAGGGTAACAATGGTGGTCCCTGCCTTCAGGCTCTATCCTAATCGCTTTTAACAACCTATTTTTAAATTCACTGCTGACTATAATTCTTTTAAAATGTATGTAAAATCAAAACTTTTTTTGTATTGTTTAGTGTGTAGGATGTTATATCCCCCTGCAGATTTTTATTGCTATGTGTTGTGGCTTATTTTTAACTGGTGACCATTGTTTTTGATACAGAAGGTCATAAGAAAGCCTCAGTCTGGAGTTGTCACAGGAGGTGAGGGAAATCCTCCACTGGGGATGCTTGTCCTGGTTACATCTGTCTAAAAGAAGATTTCACCTCTTTTCCCTCACTTTCTTCTTAATTCCCATTGTATATCTGGGACAGTAAGTGAAGGTGGATCTCTCTGTCAGGATGTTAACTGCAAAAAAAAAATGATCACGTCATCATGTGTATCATAAGATAAACGTAATCTAATTCAAACTTAGCCTTTAAATATTGCTAGGTATTTATTGAGGATGTATAATATAGCCCACTAGCAAATAGGCAGAACTGTGAAAAAAACTACCTAGTTCTTCATCATTCCAAAGAGCACATGAAAATTGTAAAAAATAACGGAAGAATTTTTCCATTTCTGTAAATACTAAATTGTATTCATAAACTATTATCAGATCATCTTCAGTAAGTGAAATATACTTTAAATGCTTAATTTCAGTCTATTAGGAAATTAAACTAACATGGATGTTTTACTTTTAAAAAAGTAAACACTGAAAAAGTAAAGAATTTTCATTAAATCCAGCCATAAATATATTATATTATGCCATATTGTATATTTTGTCACCCGTCTAAATACAAAACTTGTGTCTGTTCTTCCTTGATGGTAAATGTGTTGACCCATATGGATAAAGTCTCAGTGTATAATTCTTATTTTTGTTCAGTTCATTTGTTAAGGTTTCTCCCAAATATCACTGTGAATGTGTTGACTGATAATCTTTTACCCGCATGTATTGGAGACCTGAATCATTTTGTGGCAGATCTTCAACTCCCCTCTTTCTACATTGCAGTAACCTCCCAGTTAAAGATCCTCACATAGACATTGCTTCTCCAGTGTATCAGGCTGTGCTTAAAAATCAGGGCAAAACTGAAAGTGAGATTGAAGACTGGGCACGTCGTGCTGCCAACCTGCAGTCCAAGTCATTCCGTGTCCTTGCGCAGATTACAGGAACAGAATACAGTAAGTAGAAATTTCTATATGGCAGAAAAATATCTGAATGCTAGTAAATTTTGTCAGTCCTTTTTATTGATCTACTGTGAGTAAACATGTTGAGCTACCCTTCTCTATGCCCACTATTACAACTATGCAGTTGGATAAAGTGTATTGAAGTGACATGTTATAGCACCTAAAGTGAACACTGGAAGCTGGCCTGCCACTTGTTTTTAGTGCACAAATTTTACTTAATCAGAGAACGTGCACATTATATTTTGGAACACTTTAATGATTCATACTTGTTAAAGACTGTTTGACCACCTGATGCATGCCAACTACTGACAATAGTCGCAAGGACAGCTGAAATTCTAATTCAAGGTTCTCATTGTGCAAGTTCAGATAGACCATCATGACAAAGTAGAGAAAGCCTTTACAGTGGGATTGATTTACTAAAGGCAACTAGGCTTTTCACTTTGCAAGGGAATTTTCCAGTAGTTTAGAGGATGAGCACTACTGACATCCATCATCCATGTGCAAGAAAGAATACTTTTTTCCTTTTCACTGCACTTGATTGGATATTCTTTGCAAAGTAAATATTCACCACACTCAGCTAAAGGAAAATGTCCTTGCAAAGTGTACAGCCTGTTTGTCTTTAGTAAATCAGCCCCAGTGTGTGGATATTAAACAGTTGTGAATAGACCACCGAGCAGCAATGTTTAAGTACACAAAACAGTAAGTTTCACCTTTGTTAAAGTATTACTAAAGACAATTTTTTTTTAGTATTGAATAGAGTGGAAAGGGATTAGAACTCTTGTCAGGTTTTTATTGCTGTCTGTGCCACCATTAGGGAGGTTCACCCTCTGTATTCGTTCTGTATACTGTTATTAATGAAAGGGAAAGTAAAAGAAGATTGAAGAATTTAGGTTGAGGGGAAATCTACTAAAGGAGACACTAGTTCTGGTGACCATGGTGACACCCTGAGATTCCCTCACTTTGGAGGGATATCTTCTCACTTCCTCTTTTGGCTATGGGACAGGAAGTGAAGGGAAATCTTCCCATTGAGGCACAGATGGTAAAACAAACTGACGGTGGTTATAACCCTCTCTTACTCTATCCAAAGTGATAAAGAAGATTTTAATTTTAGTTCAACTTTAAGGCACAAAGACTTGTACTGATCCAGCACTGCCAAACCATATACTACTTGACCTGGGTTCAGAGAGGGAGAGTTATTTGCCAAACACTTAGGGGTTGATTTACTAAAACTGGACAGTGCAAAATCTGATGCAGCTGTACATTGTAGCCAATTAGCTTCTAACTGAAATTAAGGTTTGACAAAAAAAACCTGGAAGCTGATTGGTTTCTATGCAGAGCTGCACCAGATTTTACACTCTCCAGTTTTAGTAAATCATCCCCCCAGTACCTCGTTGCACTGCTGCTGCCAGTTAAGGCAGTTTGGCTTCATACTTACTATGAAATCAATATGCACTAGTATTGGGATGCCTGCCTTTACTCACACATGAACTTTAAGTGCATCCCAGTCTTAGTCCGTATTCAATATTGAGTTGGCCCACCCTTTGCAACTATAACAGCTTCAGTACTTCTAGGAAGGCTGTCCACAAGGTTTAGGAGTGTGTCTATCACCCCTCTAGTAATGGCACTGTATGCCATGCACACTGATCCTAGCAGAGATGTGTGAACATGGAGAGCCCTTAGATTAGTTGATAAAGCTCAGAAGATACACTATATTATCAAAAGTACTGGGACGCCTGCCTGTACATACACATGAACTTTAATGGCATCCCACAAGGTTTAGGAGTGTTGACCATTGTTCCAGAAGCAGATTTGTGAGGTCAGGCACTGATGTCGAATGAGAAGGCCTGGCTCTCAGTCTCCGCTCTAATTCATCCCAAAGGTGTTCTGTCAGATTGAGGCCAGTAAAGTTCCTTCACCCAAAACTCGTTCATCCATGTCTTTATGGACCTTGCTTTGTGCACAAGTGCTCAATCATGTTGGAGCAAGAAGGGGCCATCCCCAAACTGTTCCCACAAAGTTGGGAGCATGAAATTGTCCAAAATGTCTTTGTATGTTGATGTCTTAAGAGTTCTCTTCACTGGAACTAAGGGCCTGAGCCCAACCCCTGAAAAACAACCCCACACCATAATCCCCCCTCCACCAAACTTTACACGTGGCACAATACAGTCCGGCAAGTACCATTCTCCTGGCAACTGCCAAACCCAGACATGTCCATCAGATTGACAGACAGAGAAATGTGATTCGTCTCTCCAGAGAACATGTCTCCACTGCTCTAGAGTCCATTGGTGGCGTGCTTTACACCACTGCATCTGACGCTTTGCATTTCATTTCATGATGTAAGGCTTGGATGCAGCTGCTTGGCCATGGAAACCTAATTCATGAAGCTCTCTATGAACTGTTGTTGTGCTAATCTGAAGGCCACATGAACTTTGGAGGTCTTTAGCTATTGACTCTGCAGACAATTTGTCGATTTCTGCGCACAGTGAGCTTCAGCATACGCTAACCCCACTCTGTCATTTTGCATGGCCTACCACTTCATGTCTGAGTTGCTGTTGTTCCCAGTTGCTTCCACTTTGCTATAATACCACTAAGAGTTGACTGTGGAATATTTATTAGCAAGGAAATTTCACAGATGGACGTATTTGTCAAACACCGTCTGGCGGGATCTCTAGTGATCCACAGAACGGGATTCCCCAGGACGCGGAGTCTAAGTCCCAGTCTGCCTTTTCACCAGAGCCCCTGAGGTTGGGGATGGACTTGGTGCAAGACTGAAACCAGGTCGCGACCCCTGAGTGCACCCAACTGTGGTAGAGGGGTCTCGCTGAGGGTATGTGCTGGGGGTGAGCCTGATGTGAAGAGGCTGACAAGTCCAGGTCCCGAGCAGGATGGATGGATGACAGTGAGGAATGAGCGTAGTCAGACTAGCCGGGTCGGTAACGGTAGAGGCAGGTAGGTACCAAGCACTAGACAGAGAGTAGCCGGGTCACGAGCCAAGGTCAGCAACGGGAGGTCCAATAGTAATATAACAACAGGCAGAAGAGTAGTCAGGGACGAGCGGGGGGTCAGAGCAGGAGAAGGTCAACACAAATCAGGACAAGCAGGATCGGCAACAGGAACACACTTCAGAAACACAGGTACATGAACTGGACCTTGCGGCGACCTGATCACCGCCTGGCCAGTTCAAATAGTGCGCCCTGCACCGTCATTGGTGCCAGGCGCGCGCCCGCGAGTGCGCATGCGTGGCCACGATTGCCGCCGCTGCCCAGGTCCTAGTGCCTGCACATTAGTGCGCCTAGGCAATCTGCGCATGCGCAGACCTGTGCGCCGCGGAGAGACCCGCAGTCCCTGACAGTATTGCACAGGTGGCAACCTGTCACGGTACCATGCTTGAATTCACTGAGCTCCTGAGAACAACCCATTTTTTCACAAATGTTTGTAGTCTGCATGCCTAGGTGCTTGATTTTATACACCTGTGGCCATGGAGGTGATTGGAACACCTGAATACAATGATTTGGAGGGGTGTCCCAATACTTTTGGCAATATAGTGTATGTTGGTACGAGTGATATATAAGTTGTGTTAAATTTTAAGATTTTACTAATAATTCTTAAGTTTTTGAAACACTATATAGACCACATAAGTGAAACTTTACCTTGAAGATTATCCTAGATCCTAGGCTGCTGTTTTTAAGCAAAACTGAGTAGAATAGATCAGAATGACATTCCCATGCTTAAAGTGTGAATTGCCTGTTAGTTATCTGATATGCAGAAATCATTAATAAATGTTCTTTTTTTCCTCCTACAGTGCAAGACCCTGATGAAGATGCACTGAGAAGAGCAAGGTAGGCAACTAGCAGCAGAACTATGTGGCCATCGTAATAGATAACAAAATGCGTAAAGCTCAGAAGCAAAATTAATAAACATAAGTTAAAATCAGATTTAACACTTAGGTTATTCTGGTATTGGCTCTCAAATTGGCAACTTTATGAACACCCAAACGAACAATGATTTATTTTTCTTTAAAAAAATATTTCTAAAGAATTCATCTATAAATGATGTTGTGGCATGTTGATATGTGAGCAATTTATTTGGATATTATTATCTGGATACGACAACGTACATAGAGATCTACAAGAATATACTGGCATGCAGTTAATGAAGGTTTCACACATATTTTAGAATTGTAGTGGAACTTCCGTACATTTTTTATTGAAAATATCACTCATTACTGTAAAAAAGATGTGAATACACATACTATACATTTAACAGCGAATATGTATTTTACAATAGGTAAATATTTTACACCTAAATCAAGTGTCCTGTTTCTGTTACCCATAGACCAAATACAAAAGTCTTATCTGTAGTATAGTGGATTGTAGTGGTTCTCACTTGTCTTCTTTTACTACCATCAACTATAAATATAGAAAATAGTCATGAAGCAAAATATCCATCTCAGAAGCCTTTGATATAACTAGCTATGCTCTGGAACTAACATATAGCCTATGAAGTTGTGAAAAACTGTTAATATTGCAGATTTCTGAATTAGGTGATTTGCTTCATTATATAATACCTTTTACTCTGAATAGTTTTGTACATAGTAGCAGATACAGTTGAGGTGTCACCAAGACTAAAACAAATGGGTAGACGAGACTGACCACAATTCTTATCTCCCAGAAAAATACACGACATCTAAACCATTATGCAAGATAGGCCAAAATGTAAAATATATAATTAGTGCATTTGATTAAAAAATATTTAATTTCAGTTTATACAGCAGATATTACACATTAAAAAATAGAAGCTTCCATTAATAATGAAAACTAAAAAAACAATGAAACCACATGTGAATTGTGGTACACTGAGTAGATGCATTGTACTGCCATTCAAAATGAATAGCATTGCAACACAACAATAGAGACGTGCGTTTTCACAATGCAATAGTGATAATCCACTTGAGGTTTATCAAATATCTCTAGATAAATTTAACACCACACTTACATTTTTGGGATGCTTTCCTCTTTTTCCCTTTATTTATTGTTACTTTTGCAATGAATTGCTGAGGATGATGGCGGGTTGTGTGGTATGCTTGCAATTGTAGTCCTTATTTCTGTTTTATAAAAAACATACATTTACCTTATCTTGAAACAAATTTGTTGTAGGTAAAAAAAAATATCCCTAAACATTTGTAGTACATCTTAAAACATCTTAGTGTACAGAACATATTGCAACATTTAGCAGTGTGCCAATGTTATGGTCTTAAAAACAATTTAGCCAATTACTGAGCCATCTTGGCAAATGACTATCCAAATAAATTGCTGTATTTCTAGGCAGGGGAGTGAAGCTCACTATCCCTAACCCCTTCTTTATTCCCTCCTCTCTCTCTCTCTCTCTCTCTTTCTCTCTGTTTCTCCATGCCACAGGGAAAAGTTTGAAACGGAACGTAACAGCCCACGCTTTGCCAAATTGCGCACCTGGCATCATGGCCTTTCAGCACAAATCCTTAATGTTAAAAGTTAAATGCCCACGTGTAACACAATATCTATTGAAAAGCAATAAAACGCTAAAATATTCTGCATCATTATGCAGAGACAAACTATCATATACATACAATATAAATATATATAAATAGAAAAGAATAACCCACAGGGATATGTTCTTTTAGTGCCTGTCATTACCTTATTTTCCTGTTATCCTTTTAACCCACCATTATCAAATAAATATAATAGTTATTGGCATTTGCTTTGTGTTGCATTTAGAGCCTAAAATTGCTGTTTGGAATCAAGTTGCTCTTGTACTTCCTTTCCTTAAAAAAAAAATAAAAAAAACTAACCTTTGTCAGGTGTTGTGTGATCTTGGTAGACAATAGTGATTTGGAAAGTAGGGTTTGCTGTAGGGTTCAGTAGGATGTGTGCCTGCTATGCAGGTGTATGATCGACACTGCCTTAGTGGAAGAGAAGCAAGATGGCTGAGCTTGACTAAAATATAGGTAGATGGAACTGTTTTATTCATATAGTTTAGATATTAAAAGTGTATTGTGAAATAAAGTTGGGGAACAGGTCCTGTTGTGTTGTTGAACTGCAGTTCCCAAAACAATTTGCCAACAGGTATACAGTTGCTTAATTATTTTATTGCTTTCCTGTACAGGTAAACTAGTAGTAAATTGGGTTTCTTTTGTAAATGCTGTTTTTTAGCAACCCTTTCAACTCTCTGATCCCTTATGTGGTGGGTGTTGGCAATATCTGTACAGTTGGGAGCCATGTTAATGACAGTGCACATAATTTTAAAGAAGTGGTTAAGCTCTTAGTTTGTATAGTGTGTGTATGGGATTTACTGTTTGAACCTATAGAGATTCTAAAATCATAATTATCAGATATAGTAAATATCAAAGATTTATGGACATCCCTTGTTAGTTATCTACTCATTTGTCACTTAAAATGATAATTGATGAACTGGATGATTGATTTCTAATATCTAGTTCACAGTTTCTTTTCAATGGCAAATATGCCATGGAAACCTTGATATGCTTAATCCTAAAAGCAATATGCATTGCTTCATCTTTTAGATATAATAGAGACACATGATATTTCTCTTCAATTTCAATTATATATTTTGTAATTAAAGTAGACTAGAGGTAATAGTTACATAAGGGTGCATTCAGTGGGGTGTTCATAGACATTTTATGATTGGAATCCAAGATGGATGATGTAATATAAGATGTTGTATTGCATTCAATGTTGTACTGCTTTGATGTTTAAATTACAAATGACATTTCTGTATTGTTTTTGCCTCATGATGATTTTCTGTAATAGAACCACATTATGTGTTTGTGTTTTGTGTTGTGATAATAAAGTGGTTCATAAAAACATCATGCTGTATTTGCTTAAATTAAATAGTCGGGGTAACTGTCATAAACACAACTAGAAAAGAGCTTCTAGGATAACCTAATAGTCTACAAACATCACAAATGAATAGACAGAAACAATTATCAACAAAATATCAATATGCAAAATATTTAACTATAAAAGCCCCATATCTGATATTTACCAGTGTTACTAAATATTTGTTAGTGTACGTAAGCTGAATTTACTAAAGAATAAAAGTAAAAAAAAATCTATTCTGTAACAAATTCCATGTAATTTTCAGAAGCTGTCTTCCTAGTTGCATAACATTAAACTGTTGCTTCATTAATATTTAACTGTGACTGTGATATTTAAAAGTACCTTTTAAAAAATATCTACTCTAAAAACAAAAAGTGAAAAAAGCAGAAAGAAGCAGTAGAATAAATCTACAGATCATCAACTGGCATTATTGTAGCCCACTGTTCACCATAGTGTGATTACTAAGGGTTGCTGTGCACCACTCTTCTACACATTGTACTATGAGCCAACTGAATACTTAAATGGAGCTGGATTTGTTGTTACTCAGGTAATCTGTTTTTATTAGAACTCTGTTCCCAAGGCAAATCCAAAAGCAAGGTATTAATTCTGTTAAAGGTAGTGGTTATAAGACATGCAGATATTTTCTTTACCCTCCAGCAGCCAACTTTGCATCAAAAAAAGCTAGTTTATAACATAAATAATATATAATGGCCCAATTATTAAATTTAAATACAGAAGTGCTAGCTCTGATGATCACAGTATTCAAATAATGTGATCAAAGCTGCGTCAAAATTCCATGCAGCTTGTAACTATGATTAACGTATATGCAGTTGTATTTACCATAGTGAAGGTGCATGGCAACTACACAGCTTTATGCACAGTCTAATAACTACCATTTATAATTGCTTTATTTTTCTATTAAAAAAATAGCTCAAATGTTTTTGTTTTTATTTCATTTCATATAGCGCCCTAAATACCTAATACATAGTAACAGGAACATAGGAAATACATGATTAGTCTATTTAGTACTTTTTTTTTTTTTGCATATTTTCATCTTCGCTTTTTTACAATCCATCTATATTTGAATAATTAGTACAAATGGAAACAATTTGGAAGAAAATGTAAAAGCCTCACAAAAACATTTATCAAGAGCAATTAGAACGTTACTTTAGAGAAGAAATGCTACCCATAGTAAGCAGTGAGATGTATGCAATACTTTTCTAAATTGTATTAAAACATTGACTTTCAATTGTATTGCTATGGGCATCACCCTTTATGAGCCCCAGTGTGTCTTCAATGCAGTAAGACCTTCCAAGACACTGTTACATGTTTTAGCAACTTCACTTCTGTTTGTTTTTAAAAACCATTTCTGATACAATCAAGCTGTTCAGTTTATAAGAGTCTGAATTTTTTCCTGCCTAGTATTCTGGGTTTGTTTAATGCACCAGTTCTAGAAGGCAGGCCTTGAAAATGTAAGAAACTGCTTCAGTAGATAAAATGTAGCGCGTGTGGGCAACCAATCCATCCTACAATCCCATACTGAACTGATAAGCCGCAAGTTTGTGCATCCATGAAGATGCTACCAATGGGCTTCCAGTGTTAATCTATACAAAAAATATCTGCTTACAAGGTAAAATTGCTTGACTGGTGCCTGTATAGAAAACACCCTTATCTGCTGTGGCCTGTGCTTGCTTAATTGGACTAACCTCCTATCCTTCCCCTTCCTATTTCCTCACTATCCTGCTGTCCAGTTTATGCTTTACGTTAGCTAGTTATGCAATATAATTGAATTATATATTGCACGTGGTGAATGCAGTAAGGCTGCATGCTTTATACACCAGAAAAATTGTATTTATCATTTTTGAAGTGATAGCATATTAGTATATTCCATGGCTGACCCTAAAGCCAAATTATGTCTGCTCCCTGAATTAAATATCTGACTTGAGGCATGGAGTTATGTCTTGCCTAGGCCACTGACACTTGCATTGGATCTTGAAATGTGCTCTGCCATAATATTTGCCTTTTTAACCAGTGCTTAATATGCCTGCACAAAAACTTCTTTCTAGAATAGATGTTAACAGACGGTAACTTTACTAGTCTGATCTTTCTTTCACCCTTAAACCTGTGACAAATATCTTTGCATTTTAGTTTTATCTCTCGACTAGGGGATTAGGCAGATAAATATAATGGGGGTGGCAAAACACTTGTACAGATTAGCCATAATAAAAAAATTGACTCTTGAAGCAAATACAACAGGTGCCACTACTGCTTCCAAAAGACTTTCAACCTCTTACTTTGCTTCTTTGTCTTATATGTGAAACCATTAGCCTATACATAAATGTGCATACCATCAAATGCATAACCTGACTAACTAAACATTTGTTTATTAAACATCTTCCTAGCTATCTTAATTATCCCTATCCAGTAATCTTGAACACAATTTCCTGATTCTCTCTCTCTGTGCTTTCGGCTCATACTCTCATTTTCTTCTGGTCATTTACCTTGATAAAGATAGATTAACATTTTCAACTTTACTTTTCAGCTTTGTATGAAAACGTTTTCTAGCTTAAAATGGTATTAAAAGGCATTTAAAAAAATGTAACCCACGATCCTCCTCTTCTTGGGTTCCCCGCCAGCACTCCAGGCCCATCCCTGCAAGTGCCATGTCCCCACACAGCAAGCAGCTTGCTATGGGGGAACCCAATCAAGCCACTACTCTGCATGTCCATTCGCACAAAGAGCTGTGGCTTGGCCCCACCGTCTCACTCCTCATTGGCTCACTGGCTGTGATTGAGAGAAGCAGAAGCTAATGGCTCCCACTGCTGTCTCAGTCAATGAAGAGGGAGACTCCCTGGAGAGCCAAGGCTTTCATACACATCGCTGGCTCGTGATAGGGCTCAGGTAAGTATTAGGGGGATGGGGGGACTGCTGCATACAGCATATATTTTACCTTCATGCATAGAAAAAAACTTGAGCCTTTACAACCACCTTAATGCTTTTCATTATATGTCATTCCCTATAAATTAAAAAATAAACTTTTTGTAGATTTTACGACTTTAAGACAAATAATGATTCCCCTTTTATTCAAAGCAAGACTTATGTCTCTAATACATATTTTTAAAAAATAGACCCAGAGAGTGGCCAAACATTAATGTGTCAAGCTCTTACGGTTTATCCTAGAGGCACTGGTGCCTCTTTAGGGGCAACCCAACCTGTCCTCCAGGCATTCAGCTGCAGAGAGGTGTGCTGCTCTCTGTATCTGTCTGACAACCATCCCACTGAGTCAGAGCTAGACCTGTGCAGTCGGCAGTGCTTAAGTTCGCAGCATTAGCTTTGATGCAGCAGAGAGCATGTTGGAACCCTACAGAGAGACCATTGCTCTCACACAAAGAGCAGCACAGAGCTCTCTCCAGCAGTTGTACTTTGTTCTTTGTGCAGTCACCACAAAATAATATATATTCCACAGACTATAAGTGAAATCTTACAAAACATTGATTAATTTAGTAAATCACAGTTGTCAGGCACTCTTATATATTTGATGTAAAAAATTAGAGGATAGCTCACTGAAAAAAAATTTTTTTTTTAAACTATGCTTTTTATTTATCTGCATAAAAATGCGTGAGCATAGGTATAATAGAA